ATCAAAAGAAAAAATATCATTCTCCACCTTTTCGTTCTTGTATGTGTTTTGGTGCTCCCTTTTACAGATACTAGTTTCTAGGGGGGAAAAAATAATTATTTAGCTATGTATTTCACCTATATTCCCATTGTAAAATATCAACTAATGTTTATTAAGAGCCTACTATATGACAAGCACTGTGCTAAATGTTTTATATATACTATCTCAGTTAACCACTACAACTTTATGAGGCGGGTACTATTATAACCTCCATTTTAATATGAGGAGTGTGGGATTTGCAAAGGATAAGTGACCTACCTGAGTTCAAACAACTAGTAAATAGCACAGCCAACCTTCAAACCCAAAGAACCTGGCTCTGGAGACTGCCTTTTTAACCACTATGACAACTTCATTCTTTTCTTAATATACATTACTACAAAAGTTTCCTTGGCAGACTAGATTATTCACAAAAAGATCACAGTTATAGAAACATGTTCTAATTCCCTTAACCTTTCTCCAGGCCAAAAACTAAAGGATGCTTAGAAAACAAGCAAACAAAAAGTCTTAAACTAATAGCAAATTACAGAAAATTTTACATCAAATATAGAATCCATGAGATAAAAAACTTTTTAGAGTTTGGTAGCTCTACAGATTTGCTGCAAATGTGATTTTCCACTGGCTCAATAGATTTGTATCCAGTTTCACTCCATTGCTCTAAGAGCAAAATGCTGCCTGATAATCTAGTCTACAAACTAATGGGCTAATCCTTATTACATACTACATTCTTAGTATTTGGATCCTAATGAATATTAGAAGCAAAACATTTGCTTGAATAGATGTTATTCCAGATGCACTTGTGTAATGACAACTACTGCATATATAATTTGAAAAGTCAAGAGTTCTGCTTAAGCAAGTCTACCCAAGACTGTCATTCAACATGAGTATCTATCTATATAAAAGGCTAATATGCTAAGTGTCCGACCGTCTGACCGGTTGCCATGACACGCACTGACCACTAGGGGGAAGACACTCAATGCTGGAGCAGCCCCCTGGTGGTCAGTGTGCTCCCATAGTGGGAGCCCTGCTCAGCTGACTGGGATGAACAGGCCTGGGATGAGCGGGAGCGGCTCCTCCCCCGCCACCTGCTGCTTCGCACACTATTACATCCCTCGGGGGATGTTGGATACTGGTTTCAGCCCAATCCCCACAGATCACGCTGATGGACCCCACCAGTGCACAAATCCATGCACTAGGCCTCTAGTATAAAGATAACTCCAATAAAACTCTGATGCTTCATGATGTGAAAACTCAGCAGTTCTGTCTCTCTGGGCTGTACATCAGATCTATCTGAGCAAGGCCTGGCCCTACTCCAATACATTCTGATTTAATCGATCCAGTAGAGTAGAACCCTAGCATTGCTGTATTTTTGATGTGTGGTGGTGTTGTTACTGTTTTGTAAGGCTCTATAATGCACATCCAGGCTTAAGAAATGCTAAACTCGTAGTCTATCAAGTAGCAGTCTATCACATAGTAGTCTATCAAGCTAAAAAATAAATCTGTAAATAATGAGTTCTGCAAACATGTACCTACTAAATACAGGAGAAAGATTTGTGCCAATGAGGAAATAATTTTATTCCATGCATTGACTCTTAAAAAAAATAGCCATTTAGCCCTAGCCAGTTTTGTTCAGTGGATAGAGTATCAGTCCGAGAACTGAAGGGTCTCAGGTTTGATTCCAGTCAAGAGCATGTACCTCAGTTACAGGCTCCAACCTGGTCGTGGCACATGCCGGGAGGCAACCAATTGATGTGTCTCTCTCTCTGTCTTTCGCCCACCCTTCCACTCTCTCTAAAAAATCAATGGAAAAATATCCTTGGGTGAGGATTAACAACAACAACAACAAATAGCCACCTGGTACACGTTCATGTACATTTTATCTGAGTAATTATCAGAGTGATATATATTTTAAATACAAACTTTCAAAAGAATCAAGGTTCCTTTAAAATGAAGAGGGAACTTTAGCCTTTTTTATAGCTACTGATTTTATGATAAATGAAAAAATAATGTATGAATAAACCAATATAAATTACAAATATACAATCTAAATATTGCCTTCAACTGTTTTCTAAAGTATATTGCACTGTATCTATAAGTAAGTTTTATTTATTGGAGAAAACCCTACCATTCGTATTAATAGACAATAACAGAGTTCTTTTGCACTTTAAACAATAAAATTATTAATTCAGTGGTCCCATAAACATATCTACCAGGGGGAATTATATATTTAAAAAAAGAACTAGACAAACATGAAACAAAAGAGTTAAATTTTTTATAATCTAAAACTAAAAACATTCCATTTTCTTGTAAATACATGGAATGTCTTTCTAGAGGAGCTTATTTCTCTCCCACCTTAACATACACTGCAAAATTAATATAGTCCATAATTAGTGAAAATTCTGAAATATTATTTAATCACTTGTTAAACTAAGCTTATACAACTAGGAGAAAATGATGTTGAAATAATGTATGAAGTAAGATTTAGACAGCTTAAACCAGTAAGAGTCATATGTGCCTCTCATTCCTTGTTGAGTTTTAGAAAAAGATTGGACAATGTGTATCTCTTCTCCACCCCTTCTAGAAAAATCTTAAAGAAAGTTTACATTGTCTACTTTATATTACTTGTGTAAGTGATCTTTCTTATGGGGGGAGGAGGTATGAATTTAATATCTGGATCACTGTGGTGCAATATAGAGATAGCATCTGAGGATACAGGAGCTCCAGTGCAAAAAGGACAATAAAAGATTAAACCCTTGGAAGTCTAGGTAACAGAACTACAGGTTGAAGTCAAGACTATCTCCATCTCCAGGAGACAGGGACATAAATCCCAGCTATCTCCAGGTAATACATAGTTTGGAATTAATACTTTTCAACCAATTTCTCAGACGTATCATTTTTCTACCTTGGTTGTCTGTATTCCCTGAGTCCACCACCTTGCCTTGTGTTTCTTGAGTCAATTGGAGCAAGGAGGCTTCAGTCACGGGTTAATCTCCCCTCCCTGGCACGCTGAGACCTTAGGTAGCCAGGAGTAGGGAATCAGAGCACAGCCAGTCTGGCATGTGCCAGCTGAACTGAAGTGAAAAAGAACTAAAATTTCAGACTTGAATGAAGAGACCCACAGAAGAAGGCACCCCTATTATACAAGCTCTAAGAGAATAAGTGAAAAAAAGGCACAGGTAAGAAAAAAAGAGTATAGGCCAAGAGCAAAGCCTGTAGGTAGGTACCCTGAATGACAGTAGAGGACAGAGCCTGCCCCAGAGCCTGTGGGCACCCAGTGAGTTATCCACCCAGAGTGCCTGGCTAGTTGGGAAAGGGGTGAGGAAGAGCAGAAACCAACACTTTACTTTCTTCTGCTCTCAGCCTTTCATTCATTTAAGCAGCCTTGAATTCCTGGTCTTTGCAAGACTTTCTAAGTTTGCTTTAATGCTTTCATAAGGTTAAAAACTAATGTCTACTGATTCTTGTGTGTTGGCTTTGTTTTGCATCAAATTTTTTCCCTCGTCCCAGGGATTAATGGTATGCTCACTGATACCAGACTACTCAAATTAATCATGACAGGAGTCAAATCCTACAAGTACTACTAGTTCTGACAATTTTAAAAGACACTTTGATTTTTTTAAATTTATATTTACATATGATTTCTTAAGAGTGTCCCACTCGTCCTTGTTAGCTTGGCTCAATGGATAGAACATCAGCCTGCGAACTGAAGGGTCCCAGGTTTGATTCCGGTCAGGGGCACATGCTCAGGTTGCAGGCTCGATCTCCAGTAGGGGATAGTGCAGGAGGCAGCTGATCAATGATTGTCTCTCATCATTGATGTTTCTATCTCTCTATCCCTCTCTAAAATCAATAAAAAATATGTTTGAAAAAAAAGTGTCCCACTCTTTATCACATTATCAAATATCTAAGCTTCTAAGGTCTGCTTTATGAGAAACTAGACTTCCCCATCCTTTAGAAGGGGAGGGGACAGAGAAGGGAGAACACTCCTTCCTGTCTTCAGTGACTATCAGTAGAAGTACCCAGGCATACATCCAAGAAGTCAGAGTCCAGAAGGTGCTCACATTAAGATGACTGGTTCACAACTCCCGTGACATGAATATAAGCGATGTTATTCCACACTGAAATAAAACAGCCTTTCCTTCCAGCTGTTTTCAAGCTGAAATGGGCAAATACACTGCTTATGTCAAAGACAGAGTAAAAGCCCATTTTAAAGTACCTCAAATCTCCACAGATTTACTTATAGTGTGGGTTAAAGGGCACGCCTTAAATGTACATACACTCATATGTGTAGTTGAATACGTAAGCTTCTCATTAAAAAATAGACACTATCCAAACTGAGGAAAAGGAATCCACATTTCTGACATCAGATTTTTAATGAAAGCATGATTTGCAGATGAAAAGTTTTAATATTAAAATACAGACAGATAGCTGAGCTAATTTATAATAATTAAACCAAATCCATAGAAACAGGTCCAGTTTACCTATTCTCATCAACCTGAGAGTCCAGTCTATTCATTAATTGGACTGTGTGATTTAAAGTTTAAAAGGAATCAAAAAGATACTGATAGAGCTAGTATAATGAAATATTCCATTTGAAATTTGAAAATCTGGTTTCATTACATAAGTAATTTTCCCTGTTAGCTACAACTTAGAGTTTTCTCAAAAGAATTAAAAAATTTCCAAATAAAATTATTTCAAAACACAATTATGCGAAGTCCTCAGTTGATTTATACTATATTTCTATTAGAAAAATAAAATTTTAAAGTACCCCATAACTGTTTTTATATCCATACTTCCTTTGAAAAACTGCTTTAAAAATTAAAATGAGTTTAAAACAAAGAGTATATACTATTTGTTTATATAAATATAAAAGTTAATCATTATGTATCTTTTAAGATCTGAGACAAAATGGCAATAATTAAAAACAAGTGCAAGAAGAATAAAGTTTTGATCTTTCTACTTACCTTCAATGTGATACTATAATGTCCAACAAATGTTGCATTTATCCATGATGTTGAATGGGGATCACCCAGGAATTCTATGTGATACTGTTCAACATTTCCATCCAGGTCATAGGTCACATATTTACCTCTAAAAGGATCAGGGCAAAGTATCCCTGGCCAACTTTCAAAGAAAATTATATTTAATTATTTTTATGCTTTTAAAAAAGGCAGTCATCAATATATCTGTCATATTTGTATATCAAACTTTCTTCTTTGAATTTAATAAATTATTAAACTTTAACATATTCACATTTTAAAAGTAGGATATTCATTTGATACAAGTAATCAGTTGTGCCTTTATAGATATAGAAAGCTTTGAAATAGTCACATATTTAAGATATACATGAGATATGAGAAAGAATTATAAGACAAAGGGATGATCTCCAGGGTCTGTAAGAGACACTTAGGTATTGCTAAGAGAAAAAAGATTCATCAGAATCATGACAGGACTGACTCAACTCTAACCAATCAGAATGACTAATTACTAAAATGTTAACCCATTGACAGGGCTTCTGAAGGGGTAGGAGAGCGTTGGCATTTCCTGAGCCAGGGCTGCCAAAAGGGTACTGTTAGCTCAGGCTGTGCTAACTCTGGAGATTGTAACTTCTGTGGGACAAGCAGAAGTAAGTTCAGCAGTCAATATTGTCCCTCCCCCGCCCCCCCATCTGCTCCATTGACAGGTGACCACATTGCTAAAAATCCTCAGTGCCGGAAATAAAATTTATCCTTTACTAAAAATAAATCTTTAGGGTTTTTTTTAAATAACATAAATCTCTAGAAATTCCTTGGTATGTTTTATTTTTTCATTTGGCAACTTAGTTGTAACTAGTTTACCAATCTCTCTAGACTCTGACCTACTATTCTTCAGAAAATAAAGCAGGGAAAAAGGTACTAAATAAGGTCAGGAAGCTGTGACTAAATAATGTACAATAGAAATCTGAAGTTTATAGTTCATGACCCAAAATATACATATCTAATATACCCAGACATTCAAAGATCTGTACAATTATCAAGTTCTATTTCAGTTTGCTGCACTATGGAGTAAAAAGATAACAAGGTTCAAATCAGGAGACCCAGACTCTAGTTCTGCCTTCTCCCAGACAAGAGGCCTGCAGCAGGTAATGAGGCCTCACTGTAACTCTGGTTCCTCACTGTGCAGTTACTAAATTGAAACAAACATGTGTTTTACACATTTTAGTTTTTAGGTAAATTAAAATATTTTGAAGTATCATCATTATATACTGAATTGTGTACAATTCAATTTATATGTTGAAGTCCTAACCCCCAATACTTCAGAATGAGATTGTGTTTAGAAATAACACCTTTAAGAAAGTAACTAAATTGAAAGGTGGGCCGTAATCCAATATGAGGGAGGACCATGTGAAGACACAAGACCCATCTACAAGCCAAGGAGAGAGCCTCAGATGAAATTAACCTTGTTGACACCTTGACCTCAGACTTTTAGTCCCCAAATTTATGAGAGAATAATTTTCTGGGTTAAGCCACCCAGTCTGTGACACTTTGCTATGGCAGCCCTAGCAAACTAATACAACCGTATATAGTTAAGATAATTGGTACCATTGAGAAGTAGAGGAATAATACAAAAATATTTTTGCAAAAAGTTATAAATATAGAAATGTATCTACCATAGCCAACTTTTATAAAAAAGTTTCACAGATTATAGATTAATGAAAAGAGTTTATGCTTAGCATTAAGGTAAAAACATTTGATCCCAGGAAGCTGATAAGTCCCAAGTAGAACTGCAAGGAGGTGGTGACTTAGGTGCACCAGTCACCAGAGATGATAGAGTGTGAGAATGGAACAGCTATCCACTGTTCCCTGATGCTGAGCAGAGTCCTGTGGCTTTGGGCCTCTCTAAGGGTAAGGGAGGTAGAAGGCTGCCTTGGTAACCTTCCATCATGGAAGAGGGGCTAGACTAGAGGATTACAGATTGAGTCACACTATCTGGAACCCAAACAAGCCTAATAATTTGGAAGAAAAGGAAACGATAACGGAAAACAAACGGTGGTTCAGGACTTAAATGAAGACTGTCTGGTTATTATCGGGTTCACATAACAACATGTGAAAGCTCTTATTGTGCTGTGCTTAAGAGTAAAACTCGCCGGGACCGGTTTGGCTCAGTGGATAGAGCGTCGGCCTGCGGACTGAAAGGTCCCAGGTTTGATTCTGGTCAAGGGCATGTACCTTGGTTGCAGGCACATCCCCAGTGGGGGGTGTGCAGGAGGCAGCTGATCGATGTTTCTAACTCTCTATCTCTCTCCTTTCCTCTCTGTAAAAAAATCAATAAAATGTATTTAAAAAAAAGAGTAAAACTCAAGTGGAGTTCATCTTTTAAAACTAAGTTGGAAATCCACTTTCTGAAGAAACCCAGTCAAAAGAAGACTTCAATAGACAAATGACTAAGAATAAGTGGCAGCTGCAATGGAGACCCCCAACTTATTGAACACCAAGGAACAAGTATGTGCTTCAATTAACAGCTATTTTAAAAGAACCAAACTGATTGTTACATTATATTTGTTTAAACTTTTTGTAAAATATAAGGGGCTCACGCTTAATACTACTGATGTACACCTCACAGCAATTTTTAAAAGGATCATTGCCAAACAATAGCAAATTTATGCATAGCAACTACTCCATTCACTGTCAGTCTCAGGATTTCTAACACTTAAGACATGAAATAAAGAAATATTTTGCAATTATGTGTAACATAAGCTGGTATTTTTCTGACACAAATTCTGATATAACTGTTTCTACATCAAACCTATTGGGCCCAAGAGTCTTCAATCTAAATCACTACTCTATAAAATATATATTAAAAAAAGATGACTTTAAAAATTATTGAATGCCAACAAAAGAAAAAAGCTTCTGTTCATTATTAAAAATATGCTATATTATAGAAAATATTGCATGTTGATTCAGAGATGAATTATGCGAAATTCTGTCAAATGTCTAAATAACTCTGGCACTTTTGTATTTCTCCAGGCGGTGCAAAGGAATCATGACTCCTAGTCTGTATATCTCGGCTAACACAGAATGTTCCTAACGGTAGGAAGAGCCGAGCAGAGGCAGTAGATGTAGAAAACATGATTACTTCCCTGCAGCTGCTACATCTATCATCTTCTCTGACTTGCTGTGATTCAAAAAAGCTGATGTCCATTTTTGCCCTCACTCTGACTTCAATTTCAGTTCCAAAACTGTCAATGATGACAGCACATTGGGCACATCTACTTCCCAATTTTTCACTTTCATATTGATGTGAAATTCTGAAGCTTAAAGGTGAAGAGGGAGAGTAAGAATAGGCAGCCCAATGGAAGTGTATCAGAATTACAAGGGAAGTGTATGATCAATTTTAGAATCTGTAGGTGTAAAATGTACAAATACAACAAAGTCAAAAAGGTATCTGGTGTTATAATCCCCTTAGGAGGGAAGGAGAACATTTTGGCAGAACAAGTGGTAAATTCAAGGGGAAGTGCAAATCCTATATAATAAAAGCCTAATATGCAAATTGTCCCCTCAACCAGTTCAACCAGGATTTTGACTGCTCACTATGACGTGTGCTGACCACCAGGGGGTGGCATGGAACATGGCAGGCGTCGGCAACATGGTGCTGGCAGTGGGCGGCAGTGGAGGCACTGCCAGCCCCAATGGGCCCCAATGAGAGCGGGACCATGGCGGGATGGTGGAGCAGGTGGGCAGGCGACACCAGGCCAAGGCGGGTGTGAGTGGGACCCGATCAACCCTCCGATCGCCCCGCAGATGACGACCAGCGGTGGGGAGTGGGGCCACCGCCTGGCTCCTAGGCACTGAGGGAGCTGAGTGGGGCCTGATCGCCCCCCAGACAGCAACCAGTGGCGGTGGCAGCGGGGGAGGGGGGGGAGGGGTGGGCTGAGGGAGCCAGGTGGGGCTCCCAGGCACTGAGGGAGCCAGGTGGGGGCCCAATGACTCGGGCGGAGGGGGGCATGCGGGGGCCCAGGTGCTGCCCAGGGCCCAGAGGTCAGCTGGGACCTGCCCTTCCTTGCCAGACGCTCGGGCTTTGACCACTGGCCAGGCCTAGGCACTGCATCTGTGCACAAATTTCTGGCACCAGGCCTCTAGTATATTATGAAGAAACTGATATCTTACACATTTCTTATCCAGGAAAATGATCTTTAATGTGATAGCTATTGCCCTCAATAGGAATTGAAACTTAAGCATGAATTTATTTATTTCCAATGAGAAGTACATGACTTATTTTTAACTGTGGTTTGGATGTTTAAGAGGAGAGCACATTTTACTTGGGCCTCATTCCTAATCCTTGAGAAACAGAATAGATGAGCTGGAATCATCACTAACTGAACATTATACTTGTCAAGAAATCTCTGGGCTGTGCCTAAATGCAGGGGTTGTTGGGGAGAAGAAATTTCCCATCCATACACACACATGTGCGTGCACACACACACACTATATCAATCCATAGGCAAAAAATACAAAGTAATTAAATAATAATTTGTAATACTGAAAGGATCTAGTAGAAATATCAATTTATAAATTTACATACTATATCTAAAATGTATCACTGGACTGGTTTGTTAACCTAAAGACATATTTTATTACTAAACTGTTTTACTACATTACATTAGGATGCAAATACATTTTCTATAAACTAATTTTCATATTCATGAGAAAGCTTTGTATGTCTGTGTAAATATGCCCAAGGTAGTTATCCTAAACAGAGCCTAGCTTCTGTTTGACAATGTGTCCTACTATAATAAATAAGATATGCACTGTTCTCTTTTACTTTTAACTTCTATGCTCTTTTTAGTTGAATACAATGCTATTTGAAATTTTTAAAAATCAAGGCTGCTTAAGCATTATGGAGATAGTTTTTCTCTTCCTAGTACATGCAGATATCTCCACCACAAAGCAGAGAGACATAGTCCAAAGGCAAGAGGTTGCATCAGTATTTTTATAAGTACATAAGTGTGTGCTAATTCACACACTTAATGTGGATGTAAATATAACTATTTTAATTTGATTTTCCATAGAGTTTGCTGTAGGAAAAGAAAGTATTACTTTATTGGCAGGTGCAAGCACTGGGCGGGACCATGGCATGCAGTAGCAAAGAATTTTCAGTAACCACCAGAGGTTCGCCCCGATGACAGTGACCAGCGCCCCATCTTGGTCTGGCACCCCAGCTCACCTGCTTCACCATCCCACTGTGCTATGCCAACATCCGCCGTGTTCAGTGCTCTGCTGCCTGCTGCCGACACCCACCATGTTCCGCGTGCCCATGGTGGTCAGCGCACATCATAACGACTGGTTGTTCAGTTGTTCTGCCATTTGGTCTATTTGTATGTTAGGGTTTTATATATATATATATATATATATATAGAAGATATACATATATATATATATATACACATATATATATGCATATATATGTATATATATGTATACACACACCCATACAGTATTTCACATTTGATACCTAGACAAGCTCTCAGCAACGAAATGTACAAATCTCAGAGTAATTTCCACATTTGCAAAGATATTAAATGTATTAGTTTGTTATGGCTGCCATAGAAAAATTACACAACCCGAGTGGCTTAAACAACAGAAATTAATTTTCTCACCATTTTGGAGGCTAGAAGTCCAAGACCAATGTGTCAGCAGAGTTGGTTTCTCCTGAAACCTCTCCCTGACTTGTAGATGGCTTCATATGGTATTTGTTCTGTGAATCCTTGGTGTCTCTTTGTATTTAATCACCTCTTCCTATAAAATCACTCAGATTGGATTAGGGCCCACCCTAAGAGCCTATTTTAACATAATTGCCTTTTTAAAGGCACTAACTCCAAATACAGTTACATTCTGAGGTTAGAGCTTTAAAATGTGATTTTGGAGGATAATTCAACCCAAATCTAGGTATATGACTTGAAGTCCTCTTGTGTGTGTCTTAGGTGTATGTTAGAATAAGCTCACCACAGTTTATGAAACCAAACATATTCTTCATGCAAAATAGTTCAATATGAATGCAAACAAGGTAACATGAGCTAGAGTATCCCAGATTTAAGAATGTTAAGTAGGAGAACGTAATATAAAATAGCAAGGGATTCTGGGAAGAAGACAGCAATGGTGTTATAGTTTTAGAATCTCCTGATTTTCCCATAAATACAGGCAGAACACTTATAACAGAAAGGCAAAACCTGACACAAAACCTCTATAACAAAACTAATTGATAAGCTATACCAGTGGTCGGCAAACCGCGGCTCGTGAGCCACATGTGGCTCTTTGGCCCCTTGAGTGTGGCTCTTCCACAAAATACCACGTGCAGGCACGCACGTACAGTGCGATTGAAACTTCGTGGCCCATGCGCAGAAGTCGGTTTTCGGCCTGGGCGAGTCTATTTTGAAGTGGCATTAGAAGAAGTGGGGGGTGTCGGGCGGGCGGGCGACAGGAGACGCAGGGCAGGCGGGCTGCGGATATGCAGCACGGGGGAGGTGCTCATGATTCATGCCTGAGTTGAGTGAGCCAATCAGTCAGCAGTCTCATTGTGCAGTGGTTAGTGCTAGTCGCGTCCACAAACTGCGCGTGGGTGACAAAAGTACCTACTCAAAGCATAAAGTTACCTGTATTTTTCCAAACAGCTGCAAATCCTACAGGTATTTTTGCATCAATTTAAGAATTGTAATTATTTTGTGTTGGTGGCTTTATTATTATAAAATGAGGATGTTTTTAGCAAAGGCCAGCTTAGGAGTTCCCTAATTAAGTTAATGACAATGTACCTACCTATATAGTTTAAGTTTAAAAAATCTGGGCTCTCAAAAGAAATTTCAATCATTGTATTGTTGATATTTGGCTCTGTTGACTAATGAGTTTGCCGACCACTGAGCTATACACATGCAAAATGTAGGTACAAACTACCAACACTTACAAGATCCACATTATTAGCATCTTTATATATGAGAGAGAACAAAGTAGGAGGGGGCAGGCAACCAGAGTTCTGATGTGTTTGTGACATAAGAACCTTAAAACCATAAGTTCTCTTTGGAAAGTCAAACTGAGTACAGCAGTCAAAATTGTGAGGGGGACTGCAACAAAATTGAAAGCGTTAGAGCAGTCTGGGCCCTATGAGCACTTAAGACTAACTGACAGAGCTCCTTTTCAGAGCGAAAGCTCATGCTGAGGAGAAACCGTTGGGAGTATATTCCAAGTTTAATAGGGCAGGACCAATAAGAATAAAGAAAAGAGATGGTACAAATAAAAGTGGGAATATAACACTAAAGGTTGAATTAATACAAATTAAGGAAATAATGTAGGTTGTGAAAAAATATAAATTAGAATTAGAGAAACTAAAAAATGTAGGTTTTGAAGAAAAGGAAGATTTGAACAGACAGGTGACAAAACTCATAAAAACATTTCAAAATTTTTCAATAAAGACTAATCTGGAAGAAACACAAAAGACATTACATTCAATTGATAATACCTTCAGAAAGATAAAAGATGGAAAATAATTAAAATTTTAAAAATGAAAAGATGAAAAGAGTTGAAAAAATACCAATGATAAACAAAGATCTACCATAAGTAATATATGTAAGTCCCAAAATAAGAACATCAAAACAATGTTAACAGGATAAATATAATTTTAAAAAGTAATTGGAAAAAAAAAACACACTTGAAACTATATGTATACTGCACATTACATTCTTGGAAAAAATCAATCTGGAATGGGAAACACTGAGGTAGACAATAGTAAATATTCAAAAATCTAAAGAAGAAGAAGAAGAAAAAGGAGAAGAAAGAGGGGGAGGGGAGGAAAAGGAGGGAGAGAAAGAGGAAGAAGGAACAGGAGGGGGAGGAGGAAGAAGAAAGAGGGGTAGGAGAAAAATAATAATATATTTTAGGTTTCTAGGCAGCAATTACAGAATACACATTCTTTTCAAGATAGGCCATACTGGGCTATAAAATACAGTTCAATGAAACTGACTACAATCGATTTAAATTAGAACTCAGTAACAGTTATTTTTAAATCCCCAAATATTTGGTAATTTTAAAACATACTTCCAACAACTCATTTCAAAGAAGAAATACTAAGAAAATTAATACATCTTTCAAACTCAGTGGCAATATAACATACTAAAATTTTTGAGATATAGCTAAAGCAATACTTATAAGAGGAAAAATAGATTTAAATCAGTCACCTAAGTTTCCAATATAAGAAACTAGAAAAAGTAGAATCAAACCCAAAGAAATCAGGGAAAGAATTATGATGACATCAGGAAACAATAAGAAATTAGACAAACAACAGAAAAAAGTTGATTCTTTTAGAAGTTTTAAAATTCATAAACTTAGCAAGACTATATCTTAACAGTTTATTATAAAATAACTAGAGGCCCTGAGATTCATGCACTCGGCAGGGGCGGAGGGTGAGAGTGGGGGTCCTCAGCCCAGCCTGCACCTTCCGCAGTCCGGGAGCCCTAGGACCTAAGCCAGCAGTGGGACATCCTTAGCGCTGCCTCAGAGGCAAGAGGCTCCCGCCACCTCCGCTGCCCTCACCAGCCATGAGCCCGGCTCAGGGCTTCTCTGGCTGAGCAGTGCTCCCCCTGTGGGAGCGCACTGACCACCAGAGGACAGCTCCTGTGTTGTGCGTCTGCCCCCTGGTGATCAGTGCGTGTCATAGCGACCAGTTGTTTTGCCGTTTGGTCAATTTGCATATTAGCCTTTTATTATATATGATGATAGCAAAAATCTTACCTTGGCCAATTCTTGAATTTTACCAAAACCAGGCTACCAACAGGTATCTGTGAATAGACAATCTTAAATCCACTTCGATGAAATTGAGACTCTTCAGGAAAGTCTTCTTCAGAAATAGAGCACTTATTATATTTTAAATCAGTGTTCATGTAGCAATACCATGATTCATTGTGATCAACTCTGGCTGCATCCTCAGTTGACAACAACCTCCACTTCAAACAACTTTCACATTGAACCCACATTTTGTTTATATATGTACTGTTTTCCATGGAGGAATCCATTGCAGTGTTACGACAATCTACTATTATCTTACTGTAAATTTTTTCTTTTTTTGTAAATGAATTTAATCTGGAAAATAAGAGGAAAATAAAAGAATAAGGATTCAAGAGTATAAGAAAAGTTCAATCCAAAATCTGAAAAATAGCTCTTTAAATACCCTCTTTGCCCACCTACTCTCTATCCTTATAAAGATTATACATGTTGAGCATGTTGTGTTTCCACTTACCCAGAAGCAAAATAGATGCATCAATTCCTTGGGGCTCAAAATGCTCCAAAATTAAAAACAAGAATAGTATGATGAAGCAGAAGACTAGAGGTTAATATCTATTAATCAACCATATCACACACAGCTGGTATATATCCAATACTTTTGCCATAAAAAATAGGTAAGCCTTATTGAATGTTACAATCCAGGTATCGTTCTAAGTGACTCATGCACACAACTTACATAGTCTTCCCAACAACCTTAGTATAACCATTTTTAAAGAAACATTTTAAAGAAAAAACTGAAGCAAAGAAATTTGTTTAAGGTTCCAGAGCTTATATATGGTAGAGTAGAATTAAGATGAAGGCAGTTTGGTCCCAAATTCGGTGATATTACCTACTAAGCAGTACTGCCTCTGAGTATATATATTACAGCATGGCTTGATTAGACCATTCTTTTTCAAATTCTGAGGAAAATCAAATGCAGAAAAACATTTCATCATATGAAAATTTGAAATGCTTTAAGAAAATTAAAAAATATTTGCATGTATAATTTTACCTTTTATTATAATTTAAGTGATTTGAAAAAGAACATTTAGCAGAGCTTTCTTATAAAAATGTTAAACTTATAGCCGAAACCGGTTTGGCTCAGTGGATAGAGCGTCGGCCTGCGGACTGAAAGGTCCCAGGTTCGATTCCGGTCAAGGGCATGTACCTTGGTTGCGGGCACATCCCCAGTGGGGAGTGTGCAGGAGGCAGCTGGTCGATGTTTCTCTCTCATCGATGTTTCTAGCTCTCTATCGCTCTCCTTTCCTCACTGTAAAAACTCAATAAAATATATTTTAAAAAAGAAAAAAAAATGTTAAACTTATAAGAAAAGTTAGCATTGTATGATTAAGGCCTCAAATTTCTAACTTCAACAATAATTGCTATGTGCATACTACTAAAATATAGTTAAACTAATAATTACTGTAATTAATAAAATACAAGTAAAAATATTAGCATCTTATTTTGCAATGCAAAACCTATTTTTTAAATTAAAAAAAAAACTTAGATATACTATATTGAGTTAGAACACTACTAGCCAAGAATATGCACCATTTAAAAAAGCTCTTAAATCATGATTTAATTACATGTTTTGAAACTCACTTATCATAGGCCTTTCCAGGATAACTACAAATAGCTTTAGAAAAAAACTGCCAATATATTACAATTGACACAATTCACAATTTTTTACCTACTAATTCCACTCATGTGAATGCATCCAAAGAAAATTTTCCAGTTTCTCTCCTGTTATTGATTTCTAGTTTCATACCATTGTGGTCAGAAAAGATGCTTGATATCATTTCAATGTTCTTATATTTGTTAAGGCTGGTTGTTGGCCTAACATATGATCTATCCTGAGGACTGTTGCAAGTATATTTGAGAATATGTATTCTTCTACTATTGAATGTTCTCTATAGGTTAGATTCTTTTCATCTAAAGTGTACTTTATGTCAAATGGTCCTGTATTTAATTTGTCTGAGTGATTTATCTATTGTTGATAGGGGCATATTGAAATCCCCTATTATTATATTGCTATCTATTTCTCCCATTAATATTAGCTTCTTTATTTTGATGCTCCAACACTGGATGCATATTTTCAATCCTCTTGATAAATTAACACCTTCATCATCTATCTATATAAAACCTAATATGCAAATAGACTGAATGGCAGAACAATCGAACAACCAGTTACTATGATGTGCACTGACCACCAGGTGGTGCGTGGAACATGGCAGGCATCGGCAGCAGGTAGCAGAGCCCAGAACATGGTGGGTATCAGCCATGGCGGGATGGTAGAGTAGGTGAGTGGGGGCACCAGACCACAGCGGGGCACTGGTCGCTGTCATCAGGGCGAGCCTCTGGTGGTTACTGAAAATTCTTTGCTCCCGTGCGTCACGGTCACACCCAGCACTCGCACCTGCTGCCGGCGCCGGCCCCACTTGCACCCGCTGCCAGTGCCGAAGCCCGGCGCCAAGTGATCAGGGCCAGCACCGGACGCCAGCAGTGGGTAAGAGCAGTGGCTGCTGACCCCAACCACCCCTAAGGGCTTCTTTATCTCCCCCTGCTCCTGAGGGGTGACTGGAGCAGCAGCTGCCACTTGCACCCACTGCTGCTCCGGCCCCAATTGCTCCATGCCATCAGCGGGTGCAAGCAGGGCCGGCATCATCAGCGTGTGGGAGTGGTGGCAGAGAAAGTGGGGCTGCCGGCAAACTGGGGTCAGGGGCCGCGGCAGGAGGGGCTGGGCAGGGACACGGAGGATTGGCCAAGACCCGCCCCTGTGCCCACTGCAGCCTTGTGGCCCACAGTTCCTTTCAAGATGCACAAATTCGTGCACTGGGCCCCTAGTTATATAATAACCTTGACTTTTTTTCAAGTTTTTACTTAAATTCTACTTTGTCTGATATTAGTATCATAACCTGTGCTTTCTTTTGGTTTCCATTTGCATGGAATATTATTTTTCATCCCTTCACTTTCAAGGTATGATTGGAGAATTAGTCCATTTACATTTAGAGTATTTTTTTATAAAAAAAGGGCTAGTAACCTTTTTATTCTTTTCTGGATGTATAGATCCTTTGTTCCTTTTTTCTTCGGTTGCTCTCATGCTTTGTGATTTTCTGTAGTGGTATTCTTTGATTCCTTTCTCATTATCTTTTGTATATCCAGTATAAGCTTTTGCTTTGTAGTTACCACAAAGTTTACATAAAACATTCTATAGTCCATCCTAAGCTGATAACTTCGCTGGCATACAAAAGCTCTACACATTTACTTTCCCCCACATTTTGTTTTTGATATCACAATGTACATATTTTTATGTTGTGTATACATTAAAATGGTTTGTAGCTAGACAAAATACTTCTGTCTTTTAACATTTATGAGTATTATGTTATTTACACATCACCATTACATAATATTCTGAATTTTACCTTTACCAATGAGTTTTATACTTTCATGTTTTCATATTACTAATTCGCTTTCATTTAAGCTTAAAGAAAAATTTTAGCATTTCTTGTAAAGATTTTAGTATTATATAAACTATTCCTCACAAAACAAAGCAACTCTATAATATAGTGATTAACAGTATGGGTTTTATGCCAGTCAGACCTACATTAAGATCTAAGAATATCTACTGAATAGCTGTGTGGCCTTGGGCAAACCATTTAAAATACTTTTACCTGGAAAGTGGGACTACTACCAGCACCTACCTCATAGAGTGTTCTGAATGTTCACTAAAATAATGCATGCATGGTATGAAGTAAGAGGCACAGCACACAGTAGGTGCTCATTAAATGGTTGCATTACTTTCTTTTCTTAAACTTTCTAACTGCATCAACTTACATTATTTGATATATCCCAAATATATCCAATGTGTTCTGTCTCTATGTCTTGGCTCATGTTATCCTCCTTACTGTATCATAATCTGTAAATTTTCCACTTTTAAAATCTACCTCAAATACCATCTCTTTTAAGAAGTTTTTCTGGATATCCCCAACCAGCTGCAATTTCTCCCTGCTTGACCTTCCTGTCATCTTAACTTCTGGTATGTATAACATTCTGCTTCATATTATAGTGATGTGTAATGACTACTTCCTACCACTAGACTGCAAGCTATCTAATGGAAGAGGCAGTATGTTTATGTTGCCAGCAATGAATGAATTGATGATGGAAAAATTGCTTCTGTATATTGATTCCAAAATGCCTATAAAGTGCTTTACATGCAGGGATTTTTCATATCACTTACCTAATTTTGTTCAATTTCTCCTACACTTCTGTGAAGCATCTGGAACTGGATAAATATTCTAACAGATGGGAAAGGGATTAGTGAGCAATTTTTATTTGTAACAATACATTACAATGCATTACTAGTTAAATTGAATTTATTAAAGAAACCACCAAGGTCTGCAGAACTCCATTAAACAGTTCTAGAAAACTTAATACAGTATAATCATTATATATAATTTGTAGTATTAAAGTGAAAATCATGAGCTAAAGAATAAGAAAATTCCATATAGATTTTACATAAATTCTCTAAAGATTTTTGTATTTAATGAATGTTATTTTAGAATGTTATAGCAGAGCCTGAAAAAAAATAAGATCAATTTTTCTTGAATAGAAATATTACATGGTTCCATGGTTCAACAGAACAAAGGTCTGTAAGATGGAGTACAGACAATGTGAATTCTTGTGAAGCATCAATTTTTATTACAATGTATATACATTTTATGACTGATGCATCCCAGATGGTAAAATTACAACATACCCAAGGAGTTCTGAACAATATAAGAATTTAATGAGGCTGTGTGAATAAATACATACAGAAAAGGAATGAAGATAAATGGCTACTTATAATAGAAATTGCTTTTATTGTTTGTATGTGAATGAGAAAAATGACTGTTCTTCCAAACAAACAAACAAAATTGTCATTTTTCTTTTGCTCTCCAACATTGTTGTTATAGGAAGTAATCCATTTTTAACCACAGGCTATCCCAGATAATACAACTCCTCTAGGTTTGAGAAAAGTAATGGTATCTATATTGCTGTTTTCAAAGTTGGGGCATTTCAGCCTTATAATTTCAATTTCAATCACTTCTATTTTCTAGATAATATCTCGCCTGTAACCAGCACCCACTAGATTGTTTTGGTCAGCCTGCTGTTCACAGATCTCATCATATCCTGCTCTCCATAATAGATACTGACTGGCATCTAAAGTCCTTTTAGCCAAAACCTGCCAGTCCCATGGCGTCCTATGGTCATTTTCAGACCAGGCTTTAAGGAGTCCTTTTATAAACGAACTGTGAGCCCATGTTCTCTAACACTTTTCCTTATTTCTTTAAAGGTATTAAAGGAGAGCGATTCATGCATCCAATTACCTTGCTGATCTTGCATAACTGGGCAAGCCAAAAGCAATCCTTGTAGCATAGCTTGCCTGACACCTGATCCCATAACCAAGGACCTAGTTGATAAGCCTTCCCACATCGGAGGTGAGAATCTGGGGCCTTAAATATTACAGGCTCTACAGGCTCTACTTCAGGAGGAGGGGGTGGTAAATCCTCCTGGCGTTCTGTAGGCTTTTGATCCTCAATATGAAGTGGGCATTACTGGCCCAGCAGTTGAGCATCAACCCAGGAACCAAGAGGTCATGGGTTCCATTCCCAGTGGGGGGCATGCAGCAGGCAGCCAATCGATGATGTTTCTCTCTCATCAGTGGTTCTCTCTATCCCTCTTCCTTTCTCTCTCTCTAAAAATCAATAAGATCATATTTTTAAAAAGACTGCATTACTAAGCCTGCCTACTTTCAAAGAGAACTTGAATAATTTTAATGTTATAAATTAAAATTTTATAATAATCAAGAGACAGTAGAAAAGGATGAGGACTTGGAATAAAAAAAATAGTTTCTAATCTTGGTTATGCAACTTTCCAGCTGTGTAATCTTCAGACTGCCTCAGTGTCCCCATCTGTAAAGTAAGGAGAGTAGAGCTAGATGACCTCTAAAAAGTTGTCCTGCTTTAATGGTTCACGATTGATGCATTCTGGCTGTTTTTCTTCAAAAATCTCTACTCCCTGTGCTGGATTATCAGCTCCTCTATGTTCTTTTTAGCCACATATCAGAGTTTAAATTTCACCAGCCCCCCTTTCATCACTGTTAGTCTTGTTAGCTCTGAAGACTTACTAAACTTTATTTTCTTTGCAGTAAATGTTGGTTTTCAGTGTTTATTCTGTCTTTGGTTCATATGTTATCTCCCTTAGGTAGGAAATCATATTAGTCTACAAGGTGTATTTCTTGCCAGTCATTAAAATGTGGCACTCTTCATCACCTTCAATCTCCATCTGGAGCCTTCAGACTGATGTCTTCCAGTATCTCTCATGAAAGATGCTTTTATCACAATCTTCAAAACAATTAATGATAGCAGATATAAATTCCCTTTGGCAAATGTTAGCAGACTGTTTCACTGACCTTCCCACCTAACCACCCAAATCTAATGTTATCAGCTCTGAAAATAGGGAAGTCTAAGAGTAGGCCATATTCTTCCAATTATTGGCTATATAACTTTGAGAGTCATTTAAACTCTTGTAATTTTATCTGCAAAATTATTATATCAGCCATAACCGATTTGGCTCAGTGGATAGAGCATCAGCCTGTGGACTCAAGGGTCCCAGGTTCGATTCTGCTCAAGGACATGTACCTTGGTTGCAAGCACATCCCTGGTGGAGGGTGTGCAGGAGGCAGCTGATTGAGGTTTCTCTCTCATTGATGTTTCTAACTCTCTATCCCTCTCCCTTCCTCTCTGTAAAAAATCAATAAAATATATTTTTTAAAAAATTATTATTTCATAGAGAGGTTGTAAGGATGCTTTTTAAAAAAATAAATATAATAGTGAATAGTAATAGAAATAAAAATGCATCTGTACCAAGGACAGTCAAGTTTGAAAGTTTTGCAGTACTCCCAGAGGGGGAATTTTAAAAAATTATTCTCAGAAAGATTTTATGAAGGATAAAAAATACTACAAAGAAGAAAGGTGAGGTCTATAATAGCAAAAAGAAATAGGGGTTCCACTGGGATGAATCCGAAGAAGTCATATATCAACCTAGCAAAGTTTAAAAACAATATATTTACAATTTTAAAATGATAAAGAATTATTTGGAATTCTCTTACACTATTCAACATATGAATTTAGGTGTACATAATTTTTGGTATATAACAATCAGTAAAACCAAAAGCTGGTTCCTTAAAAAGAAAAAATTCAGGAATAAATTATATCCTATGTAATAAAAAGGTAATATGCAAATTGACCCTAATAGCAGAACAATCACTGGACCAGTCACTATGAGACTCACTATTTCTTGGTCCCTTTCCCCGGTCGTCAAGCACCGATCACCCAATGGCAAACGGGGAACCGGGGGTGGGTGGCAGCGGGGGGCAGGGCCGGCTGCGGGCAGCTGGGGAAGATGGCCCTGATTGCAGGGCAGGCCTAGGGACTGTACCCGTGCACGAATTTCATGTGCTGGGCCTCTAGTTAGATATATAACTACAGGGCTTTACAAATTTTAAATTACTAGAGGATACCTTGTATATATTTAACTCAAAAGGAAATTTAAGCAGGTAAGATCTGTGAAATGAATCAGATCTGTTAGAGAAAAATTAATCATGGACAAATATTCAATGTCCCACTGTTTCACTGAGAGGATGGAATTCCTCTCAGCCTCCGGGTTCTCATTTTAAAAAGTCAACTTGTAAAAACCCTACTTAAAGCAGGTAAGATCTGTGAAATGAATCAGATCTGTTAGAGAAAAATTAGTCATGGACAAATATTCAATGAGAAGTAATTAATGTGTCCAAGACTGGTCCCCTGAAAGATGGCCTCACAAATGTGATGTCCCACAAAGCTCCATGGAAATGAACTGTGGCCATCAATTCTGGCCAACAACATTTGGATCTCAATGCCACCTCCAGCTCCCATCATGCCAGCCAGGGGGTTGGTGCTAGCCCAATCATGTATACTGATATGGCTTACCATGTTGCAATCCCACTACTAACAACCAACATCTTGAAGCTAACTGTACTCACAAGGCTTAGATTTTAGTTGGGCTGGGACTGCCAATCAACCTTGAATGCCATGCTATCAGAATTGTGCTAGAATCAAAGTTCTGCCACATTATATTACTACTAGAGGCCTGGTACACGAATTCGTGCATGAGTGGGGTCCCTTGGTCTGGCCTGTGATCAGGGCTGTCTCGCCCAGTCCTAGTCCCAATTGGGGCTGGCTGAGGGGGAGGGACCCGTGGGAGCTTGGCTGGCCGCAGGAAGTTGGCTGTGGGAGCACACTGACCATGAGGGGGCAGCTCCTGCACTGAGCATCTGCCCCCTGGTGGTCAGTGCACTTCATAGTTACCAGCTGGTCGTCCAGCTGTCTGATCATAATGGTCAGTTAGGCTTTTATATATATACTAGGGGCCCGGTGCACGAAATTCGTGCACTGGGTGTGTGTGTGGGGGGGTGTCCCTCAGCCCAGCCTGCCCCCTCTCACATACTGGGAGCCCTCAGGCGTTGACCCCCATCACCCTCCAATCGCAGGATCGGCCCCTTGCCCAGGCCTGACGCCTCCGCCAGAGGTGTCAGGCTTGGACAGGGGACCCCCATCTCCCCCCGATCACTGGCTCTGACCCCCGCCCAGGCCTGAGGCCTCTGGCCCAGGAATCATGCCTGGGCAGGGGACCCCCATCTCCCTCTGATCGCTTGCTCCACCCTCCGCCCAAGCCTGACGCCTCTGACCCAGGCTTCAGGCCTGGGCAAGGGGACCATCATATCCCTCCAATCCCCAGCTCTGCCCCCCACCCAGGCCTGATGCCTCGGCCAGAGGAGTTGACCCTCATCACCCTCCGATCACCAATTACCGGATCGGCCCCTTGACCAGGCCTGAGGCCTCCAGCAGAGGTGTCAGGCCTGGGCAGGGGACTCCCAGCTCCCCGCGATCTCCCGCTCTGCCCCTGCCCAGGCCTAACGCCTCTGGCTAAGGCATTAGGCCTGGGCAGGGGACTCCCAGCTCCCCGCGATCTCCCGCTCTGCCCCTGCCCAGGCCTAACGCCTCTGGCCGAAGCATTAGGCCTGGGCAGGGGACCCCCAGCTCCCCGCAGTTGCAGGCTCCTCCCCTGCCCAGGCCTAACGCCTCTGGTTTAGGTGACCGGCCCGGGCAGTGGGGACCCGCAGTGGCAGCAGCCCCACGATCGTGGGCTCTGCTTAGGCCCAGGCAAGGGACCCCTAGCTCCCGGGACTGCCAGCTTCGACCGTGTCCAGCTCCCATCGCTGGCTCCACCCCTACTTCCTGCTATCACTGGCCAGGGTGGCAAAGGCGCCTGATTCTCTGATCATGGCTGGGGGGCAGGGCAAAGGCGGCCCCAGAGCCGCCTTTGCCCTGCCCCCCACCTCTTAGCTCCCCCCGGGTTTCCGATCACTGTCAGTGGCAGGGGGTTTCTTCCTGCTTTCCCTTTCGCCTCCCTGCATTGTGCCTACATATGCAAATTAGCCGCCATCTTTGTTGGCAGTTAACTGCCATCTTAGTTGGCAGTTAATTTGCATATAGCCCTGATTAGCCAATGAAAAGCGTAGCGCCATACGCCAATTACCATTTTTCTCTTTTATTAGTGTAGATATACACTAGTAGCCCGGTGCACAAAATTCGTGCACTGGGGGGGGGGGAGGGCCCCTCAGTCTGGCCTTCATCCTCTCCAATCTGAGACCCCTCAGGGAATGTCCAACTACCTGTTTGTGCCCACACTTTTAACAGATAACAGCTCCATTGTTGTTTCTTTCTTATGCTTAAAACCATTGGAATTAGTAGGTATTCAAAGTGTGTATACATTTTGGGGGGACACCCTGTATATCTCTAGTCAGCGGTTAAAGAAACCAACAGTAGATTTGGAACCCCCAGACAGGGAACCTTGCTCACTCCCCACATGTCTCCCCACTCACTTTCCACCTTCATGGGCAGCAGGAGAATCAACGTTTTCTCTCATTAATTCGGAAAAGCATGTCCTGTCACCCACTGCCCGGCAGGAGTGCGCTAGGCCCCAAGCAAGCGAGGCTCAGTCAGGGCAGCCTTCGCTCATGGGTGCTGGCACCCAAAGTGCACATTCCTCCTCTACAGTCACCCCGACTGTCCCACTGTTTCACTGAGAGGACGGAATTCCTCTCAGCCTCTGGGTTCTTGATCTTGAACGCTGACCGAAGGCACCTCAGCGAGGGCTGCCCGTGCCCATCAGGTGTGTCTATCTGCACCTGCTCCTGCCTCAGCACCTGCATTAACCCCCAAGAGGTGATCTCCTAGCTGCAATGGCCTCCGTGGGAACAGGGCATCACCACTCCGCCCTCTCACTGTCATCTCACAGGCGCCCACCCTCATCACCCAGAACACCCAGACACTCTCCAAAAGACGGGAGCGCAGCAGAGGGGATGTGTGCACATACTACGGGGGTGTTAGGCATGCTGGGTTGATAGAAGTGCGGTGGGGGGAACTTGTGCATGCCTTGGTTTGCAACTGTTGCAGGCATGGGAGGGTGACAGTGTGCTGGGGGATGTTCGCACGCCAGTGGGGGATGTGCACACCGGAGGCCTCTGGCTTTGCAGATCCGCAAACCCCCATGGTGCGGTCAGGAGGACGTCAGTCTGGCCCGCCATGGTGGCTGTCCCTGTGATCCTGCACCTTCTGGGCCAGGAGGCGGGACTTGCGCAGCCACTCCTGGGCGCTGATGGCCTGCAGGTGCTACTTCAGCTCAGCCTGCAGGCTCCACTTGGCGCACTCACAGCTGTCATCACCGCCATGTGGGGAGTACAGGCCGCCCTCCGCCAGCCTGCCTCCCCTGTCCAGAGGCTCTCTGCGCTGCTCACCTGCCCAGAGTGACTGGGGCTGGGTGGAAGCCTGGCGTCCTGCCCTGCCCAACCCCGGCCGATCCACCCCTGTGCGAGCTGCTGCCTCGCTGGGAAGGGTCACAGATCCAGGTCCCAGGACCGCGGACAACCTCAAGCGCTGCCCCCCGCCCGGCATGGTCACAGATCCGTGTCTTGGTCCCATGGACAGCCTCAAGCACTGTGCCCCTCCCACCAGGTCACGGATCTGGGTCCCAGACCACTGACAGCCTCAAGCGCTACCGCCCGCCTTCCCTATACAAATTAGCCGCCATCTTGTTGCTTCAGGGTGGGGGTCCTGCTTGGGTGCCTGGCCAGTCTGGGTGAGGGGCTGAGGGCCGTTTTCAGGCTGGCGGGTGACTGAAGCTCCCAACCTCTCCTTTTTTTCTTTTTTTCTTCTGGGATTTATTTACCTCCTATGGCTGTCACTGGAGCTGAGAGCCAGCTTTAGCTCTGAGGCTCGGCTCCAGCTTGAGGCCTCCGCTGCTGAAAGCAGGGATCTGGGTTTGTTTGGGTTCTATAATTTCAACATTGTTTCTTAGAGTGCAAGCTGAGCACAGCAGTGGCAGGCGGGGAACCTTGGCTTCCTCCTTCACTGGAGCAAGCAAGCCTCCTGTTCGCTTCAGCTGCCTGGCTGCCGGCCATCATCTTGGTTGGCAGCTAATTTGCATAACGCCCTGATTAGCCAATGGGAAG